CTGTCTGTCTGTCTATCTATCTATCTATCTTTCTATCTATCTATCTATCTATCTTGTCTGTCTGTCTGTCTGTCTGTCTGTCTATCTCTCTCTCTCTCTATCTATCTATCTATCGATCTATGGATCTATCGATCTATCGATCTATCGATCGATCTATCTATCTATCTATCTAATCTATCTAATCTATCTATGTATCTATCTATTTATCTGTCTATTCTAATCTAATCTCATCTAATCTAATCTAATCTATCTATCTACCTATCTATCTATCTATCTATCTATCTATCTATCTAATCTATCTTCTAATATATCTCTATCTTCTATCTGCCTATCTCTATCTGCTATCTAATCTCTTCTTATCCTAATCCTCTCTATCTATCTATCTATCTATCTATCTAATCTATCTGTCTGTCTATCTGCAAGCTTGAAAACGCAGCTATTTTGCGAGCCTTCCTCAGTCAGAACGCGGCAATTCAGCGAGACTTCCTCAATTTTTGAACTTGACAACGTCAAAAACGAAGAAATTCTGCGAGACTTCCTAATTTTTTATGTTGACAGCATCAAAAACGAAGCAATTACGTCCTTCAAAAATGGAAAGCTGAGTGCAGAGCTAACGGCCTCGTACCATCTGTCTAAACTACTGCGCCTGCCACGAAAAAGTGATGCCAGGTCATACGAAGTGCTGCACCTGTCACGCAAAATCATCTCAGCAAACCTGAAGATCTGAGGCTCCAAAATGCAACCCCTCTCAGGAAATCAGCACCTGGACCTCCTAACAGCTCTGATGAACATGTCTCTTGTACTGCGGCTGCCACGGAAAATGCATCTTTGCACATCCTCTTCAAATGCCCCATGCCTGCCATTGTTTTTGGAAATGCCACAAAACCCACACGTTTTGCTCACTTTTGACACGGTGCACAATCCCTTGCGCCTGCCACGCAGAACGACATCTGAACGTCAAAAAGTGGTCCAAGCTTGTGCACAACGGCGTGCACTTTTTCGACATCTCAACTTCCAAAAGTGGTCCGGACCTGGTGTGTTTTGCTCATTTTCACTTCGAAATGTGCTTCGCGCCACAACGGCGTGCACTTTTTCATCTCTCATCTGGCCAGATGGCTCCGCACCCGCCGCTTTAGCGAGCCTACTTTTCGACCCTCCAGAGAGACTTTCTCTTTCTTCTTCTCTTCTCTTCTCTGACTCTTCCCATCTCTGCTTTTCATCTGTCCATGTTGTCGGAAGTTTGACTTCTAAACTTCCTTCGATAATCATATAATGGTCAAGTATGTTTTTCGGCCCCTCACTCACTCACTGTTGCCTGGAGAAAAAGTTTGCATTTTGATGGCTAAACTGTCAGGTTTTCGTGGCTAAAAGTCACTCTCATTTCGGTACTCATCCATGGTTGTGGAGCGTGCGAAGCAGCTTCCTCTTACGGACAAGTATGACATAATTGGTGCAAACAGAACAAAACCCGGCATTGAGATTCAAAGTTTAAACTAAGTGAGAATGTGCGAGAATGAACTAGACTGCTTGTTGCATCTTCAACAAACTTGCATCGGCTTTTTGTGATTTTTTGAGATTTTTGGAGCACCATCTTTCATGTAGAGGTTCATCTTGACTGTTAACGTTAGTGTGCTCAGGTGCACTCAGGCAAAAAGCACGATATGCCGAGGAAGTGCGCCGTTCCATGCGAACAATGGGAAGGTAAAACCGAGAAAAGAGAGGGAAACTTTGACAACGACAGACTCCGAAAAACCATCAATTGAAAACAACACATAACATGCTTTTCTTGGCCTTTCCGCCGCTCACCCCAGATGCCTCAGCATTGTCCATGGAGGGAAGTGAAGCAGCAGAAAGCACTTAGATCATCTTGGAAGATCTTGGGAAGTCTTCCAAGTTGTGTTTGAAGATGTTTGGAGATGTCTGAAGTAGTTCCTTGTAGCCAATACTCGCCTTTGCTTCGATTCCTGCAGTCCAAGCCTGGGAGAATCTAATCCAACACCCTGTACATGGGTGAAATTTTCATCCAGTGGTTAGATCAGAACTTGTCAGAACCATAATATAGGCCAAGGCACACTTGACATCAGTAGCGGCTTGCGGCATGTGCACGTCAAACTCTTGTCATTTTTGGAACACAGAACAAAGAGCTGTTTATTCCGTCAAACCTGCCTTGTACTTCCAACTGTAGACACGATCTTGTATCTGGAATGATCGTGGAAGAATCACTTCTACATCTTCTACTTCCTTAATGATGCAAACAATTGGGAGACTGCAAGTATTGAATGGATGACACAAGACTAATCCCATGACGTATATACAGTTCAATGTCAGCCTAGTCTTGCTTGCTAGAGGCCAAAGCTCCAAGGAGAACATTACCGGTAGTGAAAATTAATGCTGCCCATGCGGTTTGCTTTATATAGGAAAGTCCACTCACTGTGAACTCTTGAAGCTGCGGAGCACGACATGTTACAGCCAGCATATAAGCATTTGAAGCAAACATTGCACATTCACCTTTCGGAAAGCATTCCAACTCAGTGCCAACAGGATACATTTGACCGATACATCCGGCACAAAGTTTTTTCAACTGCAAGGTCAAAGTCAGTGCCTAGCACCCTGCACTTCACTGAGCACTGGCAGTCCTGCGCTGTGCTTGAGAAAACATCACTAGTGAGAGCAGCTTTGGGAACATGAAGGAAGCTTATGTGGAAATGTGGAAACCAACACCTCTCCAACAAAGAAGGGGTACAAAACATCACACAACAATCAAGAACAGCTTGTGCCAAGCAAATCTTAGCCAGGTCTTGCCTGCAAAATGAAGCTCTGACAGCTCAAGACCATTCTTTCTAGTGTGTGTTATGCGGCGCACCTTTCTGAAGTGCTTTTTGTTGTTATGCTGTTAGGTCCCTCGTGTTCCACGTTTGTAGAAATACAGTGAATTGTGAATATGAATTCCCAAGTAACCAAATGCACTACTAATCTCTTAGGCATACAAAATGAAGGTATCATGCTACCAGTAGTACCGCACAAGGCGGTGGCGGAAGTTTCAAAAATAGGAAACCTATAGGAGAGATTGGTTGTTGTGAATCAGGGATGGCAGAGCGAATCCACTGATGGACCGAAAGGTGCTTGAGGTCTCCTCTCTTTCTCTCTCTCTTTGTCTGACTATCTACTTACCTACCAACCTATCTTCTATCTATCTATCTATCTATTCTAATCTAATCTAACCTAACCTAATCTAATCTAATCCAATATAATCTAATCTAATCTATCTAATCTATCTAATCTATCTAATCTATCTAATCGATCTAATCGATCTAATCGATCTAATCGATCTAATCGATCTAATCGATCTAATCTAATCTAATCTAATTTAATCTAATCTAATGTAATGTAATCTAATCTATCTATCTATCTGTCTATCTGTCTATCTGTCTATCTGTCTATCTGTCTACCTGTCTATCTGCGGTGCAGTGTCATTCAGTGTAATGTAGTGTAGTGCAATGTAGTGTATTGTAGTGGAGTGTAGTGGAATGTAGTGTAGTGTAATGTAGTGTAGTGTAGTGTAATTTCGTGTAGTGGAGTGTAGTGGAGTGTAGTTGTTTAGTCGTAGTTGTAGTTGTAGTGTGGTGGAGTGTAGTGTAGTGTAATGTAGTGAAGTGTAGTGGAAGGTAGTGTAGTGTAGTGTAATGTAGTGTGGTGTAGTGGAGCGTAGTGTAGTGTAATGTAGTGTAGTGTAGTGTAGTTCAGTGTAGTGGAGTGTAGTGGAGTGTAATGTAGTGGACGTGTAGTTGTGTAGTTGAAGTAGTAGTTGTAGTTGTAGTGTAGTGGAGTGTAGTGTAATGTAGTGAAGTGTAGTGGAAGGTAGTGTAGTGTAGCGTAGTGGAATGTAGTGTAGTGTGATGTAGTGTAGTGTAGTGTAGTGTAATTTAGTGTAATTTAGTGTAGTGGAGTGTAGTGGTGTGTAGTGGAGTGTAGTGGAGTGTAGTGGAGTGTCGTGGAGTGTAGTGGAGTGTAGTTGTGTAGTTGTAGTTTTAGTGTTGTGTAATGTAGTGTAGTGTAGTGTAGTGGAGTGTCGTGTAGTGTAATGTAGTGTAGTGTAGTGAAGCGAAGCGAAGCGACATCTGAACCTCCAAAAGTGGTCCGAACGCCTTGTGTTTTTAACATTTTGACTTCGAAATATGCTTCGCGCCACAACGGCGTGCACTTTTTCGACATCTGAACTTCTAAAAGTGGTCCGAACCCCTAGTGCTTTTAACATTTTGACTTCGAAATGTGCTTCGCGCCGCAACGGCGTACACTTTTTCGACATCTCAACTTCCAAAAGTGGTCCGGAGCTGGTGTGTTTTGCACATTTTCACTTGGAAATGTGCTTCGCGCCACAACTGCGTGCACTTTTTCGACATCTCAACTTCCAAAAGTGCTCCGAGACCCAGGTGTTTTGTAAATTTTGACTTGGAAATGTGCTTCGCGCCACAACGGCGTGCACTTTTTCGACATCTCAACTTCCAAAAGTGCTCCGAGACCCAGGTGTTTTGTACCTTTTCACTTGGAAATGTGCTTCGCGCGACAACGGCGTGCAATTTTTCATCTCTCATCTGGCCAGCTGGCTCCGCACCCGCCGCTTTAGCGAGCCTACTTTTCGACCCTCCGGAGCCACAAATCATTGGAAAAACACAGTGTTTCGCGACTTTCCTACCTTTTCGCGCATCTGCATCTTCTTTCTTCTGACTCTTTCTCTTCTACTCTTCTCTCTTCTAATCTTTCTCTTCTCTCTGCCTCTGCCCTGCTCTGCTTTTCATCTGTCCATATTGTCGGAAGTTTGACTTCTAAACTTCCTTCGGCCAGTATCTAGATAGTGATGTTTCAAAAACATTCATATCTCCTACAAAGATTACAGATTTGTTTGAACGGAATCTGAGAGATACTCACAGTCTTATAAATCTCCATAGGAGGATCCTCTAGCAATCTATGAGACTCCACAGCTTAGGAAGATAGCAAAAAAAAATCTCTTTGCGAAGACAGATCCCCTTCTGACATCACCATAGATAATTGCCATGGATTGAATGATCATCAAAAGGTTGACATGAAAAGAAAGATAATGTGAGCGTAGATCTCAATGACTAGACAATCTTCTGTAGTCAAGTGAAGATGACATTCCAAGTTAACAGTAACAGTGGAGGGGCATGCAGTAAATGACTCTCCTCATATGAACTGTTTCAATCTGTGTAATGCACCTAAATAATGCACATGAACTATGTAAGCTTACTTTTGCCCAATCATCATAGAACAACTAACGCATAGCACAACTATTCCATAAACTTAGAGCTTGAGATAGGAACCGCTGAAAGAAATCTTTGTGGGCATGCTAGTCTTATGTATCAATAGGAGTCACTTTGACAAATTGGAGGTAGCATTGACTTGTATATGTCTCTTTTACATATCAACATTGCAAGCAAACAAAAAGATTCGAAATAGTGTCAATAGCACATAATTGGACATTACATAGAATTGCATATAAATATGATTGGGGATACCCCTGCAGAATGGTCAATTATGGAATTTGTATAGGCTGTCATGTTAGCAAAATTTATGAGCGAATGATCAAACACTGTGTCCAGCCTAAACAGTGGTAGCCTGTAGTTGCAGTAGAGCCATCAGAACATAAGATGCATCCAATGATATGCCTAAATTCAGCCATGGCCAGGAGCAGACCTACAACACAAAGTGAAACAAATTAAATCAAAAGCTTATGCTAATGCGTTCTTTCCAATAGGAAAATAGTGGAAATTCACATATTTTTTGAAGGATATTATCAGATTAAACTATGGTAAAAGGGTTGTCCGGGTCCTTTCTCTAGCACTATCCTCCTGAGGCATATTGGCAAATAATCACTGGAAGTAATAATTGCACCTTGTTATGCATTGCAATCTTTTGTTCTAAACCCTGGAAACCCACGGCACTATTGTTGACTATTTAAAGTCGGGTTAGAAATGACCATTTTTTGGACTTGAGCTGTAACTAAATACCTCAAACAACTTGATGAGAGCATAGCGGCCGCGCCAAGAGTGGAGCCAAATGATATAGCAGGTTGCTTCATTGAAATGACATTAGATTAGTTAACAGGCTGGCAACCAAAGATAACGTGATTTTTTCTTGAAACAATAGAATAAAGAAGTCAAGTTTGTTAAGAAAGCTTTTGCAGGAGATGAGTCCGTAATCTGATGAACTAGTGAGTGCAAGTTCGGAAGCTACAAAAGACTCATCAAAAAGATATTGAAGCTGCATTTATTTATATATATATAATTGATTATAATTGATTATTCGAAGCTCCGAAAAACTTTCAAATCAAGAGTTTGAAACTGGGGGGGGGTCCAAATAAATGAAGATTTTGAAGCTTGGGGAACCTCCATATAAAGATATGAAAGCTTCGGGGAGGTTCCAAATGAAGATTTCATGGCTCCCGAAGGCTCCAAATGAGGATTTCGAGGATTTTGGAGCTCTGGAGAGAAGGGGGGTCCACCCCAAAAATGTCTTTTTTTTGTTTTTCTTTTTCGAACCCCCTTCTGGGGATCTTCCGGGATCTCTGGGGATCTCATCTCTGGACATCTCTGGGACTCTCTAGGGATCTCTGGGGATGTCTTGGGATCTCTCTTTGGGAATCTCCAGGGATCATGGTGTTGTTAACACCAGCTATATCTAGCAACATCAGTATAGAATCGATTGCACACTTCATTGGATGAAAGATATACTTTAATACATTATAAGACATAAAGTACTAAAAAAACACGTAAATTTAAGGGACCTGGTGGGGTCCCTCTCTCTGCATTAAAGACTTCAGTGTACATCCAACGCGCCATTGCCGCATGGATATCCATATGATTCGATATGTTAGATTATGTTAGCAACTGTCCGTTTCTTCGTGAAGCAAAAGATACCCCTGTCCTTGCCATCAACAAGGGCAGTTCCTTAGCGACTGAAGAAGCACCCACGCAAGCTGCAGCCAAAGAAGCAAATTTCAGCACAAACATGAACCTACGATGTAGAAAAGAAAAGCCAGTGAGTATACGGTATGTATACCCTACTGCGCTACCGACATTGCAAGCATGAGACACACTGCACACACGCGCACACACACACACTATTTACTATGTACATTTGAACAATTAAAAGCGTTGCAGACTTAAGTCACACACACACACACATGACATGCAGTACAAGCATTGCAGACTAGGATCATTACATACTTCACATATACACACACACATGAATCAAACGATAATCATTGCAAACATTGTAGACAGCATATTCAATCTAATGTTCAGTTTTTTCCTGCAATCATGTACACCGCTATATATATATATGTATATGACATACACACCTTGCATACACACATGGCATCACAAGAACTCAGGAGGCATATGGGAATACATGCCATGCATGACAGAAAAAGAAAGCAAAATTAGCAGACCAGTAGGGAATCTTATATGCAAATCATATGCAAAT